GAAAGTGATAATTTAAATTCCTCCAAGTTGTAAGGAATATTTCGTATACGTATATTGTATCTCGATCACTTTTGAATTGCGATTAATTTGAATAAATATGATTTCACTATATTTTCTTTCAAAATCTAGAAAACTCGGCGAGAACACGTTTAAAAAAAACTCTTCGAAAAAGATGTTCATTAATTTATCACGTTCTAAGTCTAACTCCGTTATTACCTAATGAAACGTTGCTGTACGAATTCCGGCTCTCAACTTGCCACCAGTTTTCTCGACGTAGCACTCGAAATAGCAATTTTCCGCGATTAGAAAATAAAACGAATCGTTGTTTTCTTCATTTCACAAGAAGAAAAACAAACTTGCTCTATTCTCACTCTCCGCCCCTTCTCCGATTCGAAGAAGCGAAACACATAAATATATAGATAGAACGAAATGGGGAAAAGGAAAAGAGAAATGGTGGAGAAAGAGAAGAAGGAACAGGTTTCTCGAAAGTGGTGGGATCGATCGATCGATCGATCGATCGCTCGCTCGGTCCGAACGGATACAACGTTATTATCGCGAACGACAGGAAACGCGAAGCACGGCGAAACGAAATCCACCGCGAGCGATCGGTTCGAATTCCATTTCTCAACGCGTAATGCATCCATCCCCCGACGCCTGCCACGTACTCGAGCCGAGGAGATGTAATGATACGCTATCGCGTGTCGAGGAGAAAGAACCGACAAAAACCTGTGCAGCGTAGGATCTCGAGAAACAGTGTTTAAAACAGTGTCGGCGAAAAACATTGTGGCAAACAATATAATCGATACGTTCAATGTTTCTCTAATCTCCTTGGAAACACGAACTTTCCACAATTGCGCAACGACGAAAGAAAACGCGCGTTTCGTCTGGGATCCATGATAATTTACATCGCTTTGGAATTTATTGGCAAATGGAAAGGAAGTACGATGGATTAATTGTATTGGAGGAGGATCGAGTTTGATTTTTGCCGATCGAAACGAATTTCAATCAGGATTGAATTAATTTCCTGGGATAGATTGTTCTTTTAAAATCTGAGACGAATTTGTTATTAAGACTCTCTTTTGGGACCTCGTAACTCTCTATTCGCGCTGGAAATTTATTCTCTGAATTCCTACTTAATCCTGTGAATTATTACAAATATTTTACGAATTAAAATTTCGTCGTCGAAGAATAATGATAAACGAAAAGAACGAATATTGGATATTTGAAATCTTTTCCATAACCGATAACTTGCGACGAAAATTTTATTTCAATCAAGAAATATAAAACCTGTCGATGAAAAATTTGTTAATTCTCTTCAATTATCGGAGAAAACTTTCTTGTACTAAAATGGTGATCCTCGAAATCGTCGCAGTTGTCGCTGTTCGGATTAAAAGTACGATCTTCCAGGACGATCTTTATTGCGGCGGCTTGCTGTGAAACCGTATGCCGATTCTTCAACCCCCATGGCGCGGCCATAAGTGACTCGGCTCCTCTGCGTGACAGCTCCTCTCCCTCCCCTCCCCCATAAGGTCTTCGACATTATCTGCGAGAGTAGGCCCGTCCGGATCGCGCTTTTGCCGGCTGGCAAAATCTTCCCTCTTGCCGCTTAATGGGACCGTCCCGCGACAGAGATAATAATAATTTCGCGTCGTTAAGGGTAACGCGCTTCACGCCTCCTTCCGCGCGATACGGTCGGACGAGATGGACGTTGTTGATGAGTCCATCCGATCGTTGGACACGGATGGACAGGGATTCGCGTATCACGCGGCCCCATCGCGACTCTCCATTTTCGAGAATCCGTTTCGCTCGCTTCTGGGAGGCAAACCCACCTCCGATATTTACTTTATTAAATTTCTCGCATCGCTTACGTCTATCCATTCTCTCGTTTTCGCGAGATTCGGAAGAATAATTATCGTCGTCGTGGAATTAGGAAAAGGAAATCGATTTCCATGCATTGTGTTTTCGCTTTTTCGACGATTTCTCTGTTTCCAGAAAATTGAGAATTATATCGTTAAGGTTCGGACAAGTTGAGAGCTTAAGCTCATTTTTTCTTCCTCTTTCTAGCGACAATTCTAAATTCTAAAATTAAGAATTATATCGTTAAGATTCGAGCAAATTGAGAGTTTGAGCTCACTTCTTCTTTCTAGCGACAATTCTAAATTTTAAAGTTGAGAATTATATCGTTAAAATTCGGGCAAGTTTGAGCTCATTTCTTCTTCTTCTTTCTAACGACAATTCTAAATTTTAAAGTTGAGAATTATATCGTTAAGTTCGGGCAAGTTAAGAGTTTGAGCTCACTTCTTCTTTCTAGCGACAATTCTAAATTCTAAAGTTGAGAATTATATCGTTAAAATTCGGGCAAGTTGAGAGTTTGAGCTCACTTTTTCTTTCTAGCGACAATTCTAAATTCTAAAGTTGAGAATTATATCGTTAAAATTCGGGCAAGTTGAGAGTTTGAGCTCACTTTTTCTTTCTAGCGACAATTCTAAATTCTAAAGTTGAGAATTATATGGTTAAGATTCGGGCAAGTTGAGAATTGGCTTTCTTCTTCTTCTTTCTAAATTCTAAATTCTAAAGTTGAGAATTGGCTTTCTTCTTCTTCTTTCTAGCGATAATTCTAAATTCTAAAGTTGAGAATTATATCGTTAAAATTCGGGCAAGTTGAGAGTTTGAGCTCACTTCTTTTTTCTAGCGACAATTCTAAATTCTAAAGTTGAGAATTATATCGTTAAAATTCGGGCAAGTTGAGAGTTTGAGCTCACTTCTTTTTTCTAGCGACAATTCTAAATTCTAAAATTGAGAATTATATCGTTAAGATTCGGGCAAGTTTGAGCTCATTTCTTCTTCTTCTTTCTAGCGCCAATTCTAAATTCTAAAATTGAGAATTATATCGTTAAGATTCGAGCAAATTGAGAGTTTGAGATCACTTCTTCTTTCTAGCGACAATTCTAAATTCTAAAATTGAGAATTATAAGTTTGA